GGGAAAGAGCAGCTGAGGAGGCCTGCACTGCTGTCTCCCTTCTCTCCACTTTCTTTTATATCCCTTGTGGTGCTTGTCACCAGCCTGCCACTCTGGCATACTTTCCTTTTCAGATCCTTAACTCCAGTGGGAAGAGGCTGGAGCACTTAGTAGTTGCTATTTGTATTTGTGTACGGCAGGAAGAGAAGCATTAACAACAAAGAAGAGCCTTGCTTTCAGTGCTCCTCACTGCAGCTGGTAGCAGAAACCTTACTTGGATTCTGCAAGGTAAGAGATGTTAGTGCTGCTCTTCAGAGGCTGAAGTGGCCTGATTTTACAGATAGAGCTGCACCAGAGAGCTCCACTCTTTTATGTGTTGACACATAAAGATAATTGAAAATAAACCAAATGTTGACAGAATTCATTTTGATGGAATTCTATTATATTGGAACTCTTTAAAAAACCCCTATAATTTGTAAAGACACTCACGAATGACTACAACTAGGGATAAATATTTCTGATTTCTTTCCATATTACCTAGAAGTGCTTAAAAATCTGCTAAACTGGTAAATCTAAATAGTGTAAACCTACCACTGCAATACAGTATCTAATACCTAGGAATTAGTAAAGCTATGGAAAGCTTTTCCCAAGGGGATATTCTTGTTTCAGTCATCTTTAAATAGACTACATAAACCACAGGACATCACACTGCCCAAAGGAAGACAGCATGGATGATCTAATAAGACTTTATCTCTCACTTGCATGGTTGTGTGACTCTCTTAAATTCACAAGTTTAAATGGTAATTGTGTCTGATTCTTACTACATCATGAAAATGGTGTTAATAAGCAGACAAAGCAATCCACTGGGGCAACCACCTCTTACGTACATTACTTCAATAAAGGAAATGAAGTTGGAGCTCCCCTAAAAAGTTTTTTATTCTTCCTATAGCGTATCACATCTCCCATGATATGTCATCACTGCTGTTTCAGTCTCTGCAGAGAAATATTTCTTTGTGATCTGGAGCATGCTTATCAAAGACTGCATCCTGCATGATGACAAGAGCTTCACCCCAGCAAATTAATGAAGTGCATGCACCCAAAGTCTCATTGACTTAAATGGGACTAAACTTAATTGCTCCGCTGGATTACAATAGTGTTGTCCGATCAGAAGGGTGGAAGACACTGAATAATAATAATAATAATAATAATAATAATAATAATAATAATAGTAATATGATTTTTTGTTCCCCAAGAACAAGGGAATAACATGTCTACTAACATATTTATAAAATAAAGGTTAGCTAAGGATTTGGCCAACAGATAGTGCAAAAGATTTTCAGTTCTTTGGCTGCTAATATCTTTATAGAATAGAGACTAAGAGAGTCTTAAGAAATAGTGATGGCTATTTCTAATGTAAATACATGCAAAAAAGTTAAATC